CAAGCAGAACTTATTGCAGAAGGAGGAAAGAATCGAGGCAACTACAGAAGCACCATACTGTCCCCCGAGCTTAAAGCGGCAGCTAAAAGCCTTCGTGAGAACAAGGAGATAGTTGTCAGGAGAGGTGACAAGTCGCCAATATATGTCATTCTTAAAAAAGACGAATATCTGGCGAAAATGAACATTATACTCTCTGACCAAACTAAGTTCCAAAGGGTAACGAAGGACACTACAGCCGAATTAAAAGCAAAGGTCAACAAACTGATCGAAACTGTGAACGCCAAGAAATCCGGACTCCACCTGCCAAAGATCATTGGGGAATATAAACCTGGATATGCGTATGGAAATGTCAAGACGCACAAGCCTGGAAACCCACTTCGGCCAATCATTAGCCAGATACCCACACCCACGTACAGACTGGCGAAGCGACTCAACGGCCTGCTGACTCCTTATGTTCCTTGCGCCTTCAGCCTGAAGTCTCCAAAGGAATTTGTGGACTTACTGCGGGGCACACGGGCCACAGGGATAAGAGCCTCGTTGGACGTAGAATCGCTGTTTACCAACGTACCTGTGGACGAGACAATCGGAATGATAGCCGACAGAGTGTATCGTGATCCAGCCTGTACTCCTCTTGACATGCCAGAAAGTATTCTGAGGAAACTACTCCAAGCTTGTACTAAAGAGGCACCCTTCTTGAGCCCGGATGGGCACATGTATAAGCAAGTAGATGGGGTCGCCATGGGTTCTCCCCTAGGTGTCCTGTTTGCAAACTTCTACATGGGTACCATCGAGCAAAAAGTCTTAGTCGACATGAACTTGAAACCGGCCATATACTGCAGGTATGTTGACGACATTTTTACACAGGTACCTGATGTCAGACATCTGCAGGAGCTGAAGGAGGCATTTGAGCAGAGTTCCGTGCTGCGTTTCACTTACGAGACGGAAAAGGATGGGAAGCTGCCTTTTCTAGATGTAACAGTCATGGAAAAGGGCGGAGGTTTCCACACTGCAGTCTACACTAAGGAAACAAACATAGGAATGTGCCTAAATGCCAACAGCGACTGCCCTGACAGGTACAAGAGGAGTGTTGTTAACGCATACGTCGACCGTGCTCTCAGCCACAGCTCAGAATGGAAGCAAGTCGACGAAGAACTCTGTAGGGTAAGGCAGGTCCTAGTCAATAACGGCTTCTCCAATGGTTTCATCGAAGACATCATAAGAAGGAAAGTGAAAAGCCATGCAACCTCTGAAGAGACAACTAACACAACACCTATACCCCCTATTAGACTATTTTACAGGAACTTCTTTTCCACAGCTCATAAAACGGAGGAAAGGGTCCTGAAAGATATTGTTAATAGAAACGTTATCCCTACAGACAAAAATCAGAGGATACAACTGACGATTTACTATAAAACCAGAAAAACGGCCAGCCTACTCATGAGAAACTCTCCAGACACAAAACAGAACGCTTTAAAAGAGACTAACGTCGTCTATGCCTTCAAATGCCCACTTGGGGACTGTAAGCTCCAAAAAACCCAGTATATAGGCAAGACAACAACATCTCTTTCTAGGCGTTTAACGATGCATAAGCAACAGGGCTCCATTAAGGAACATATAATCTCTTCCCATAACCAAACCATCGCCAGAGAAATCCTAGTAAACAACACAGAAATCATCGATAGATACAGCGATAGCAGGCGGCTTGACGTTTGCGAGGCACTACACATCAAGAAGTCAACACCAGCAATCAACAGCCAATTATTGCACAACTATATTCTACCCACCTCAAGACTCCGCTCCAATATAGAAGCATCAAGAAATATGGACCAATAGGCTTTCTACAAACACTTCTATTCAATACCCATTGTTTCTGTTCTGTCTTGTGTTGATACTTTTAATACCCTATTAATATCCCCTCTTGTTCTGTCTTGTGTTAATGCCACATCACCCCTCCCACCTCACTCAAATGTAGATATAAAATCAGAGATACGTAAGTTCTAATCAGTTGTGTATTTGTGAAGTCTTTGAAAATGTAATAAGTTTTACGAAACGCGCCCGTGTCGCGTCAGACTAGAAATAAAAATGAATTTTGGAGAAGTGATTTTTGATTTACCTCCAACAGTGAAGCGTAATGTACGAAAGATTGAGAAAATTCGTGTTAGAATTATTAATCTTACTTTTTCGGTCATATTTAATAATATTTATATATATAATATATATATATATATATATATATATATATATATATATATATATATATATATATATATATATATATATATATAATATATATATATAATATATACACACACGCACACATATAATCTACAAGATTCCTGTCGTCTATGACAGGATATTATTTATTATGTGATTATACTATTTCTTTCATGTTCTGAACGGGATTTCCGTCTTCCGTGTTTGACAACGCCCCAAGATTAGCCAAAGTGCTAAAACTCCTCCTCTAATTTCATACCAGTTAGAATTAGAAACTTTTCTCGTTTCCCACATGAAATTATATTTATAATGACACCTTAGACACGACAGGAAGCAGGAGGGAGGAACAGGAGGAACAATGCTAACCTGTGTGGGGGGATAATACTGCATTCCTCCTATCACATTCTCTCCCATTCGTACCACACTCTTCCTCTCTCTCTTCATTCACACGCACTCTTCAGTATAAGAAGTGTGTGTGTGAATGAATGTTTATACTGATACACACATATATCAGTGTAACAAACATTGAAGTCAATCACCAAGCAATGTTTGTATGTTCACCATGTGAATGCGATCAGCAACACCACCACCACCAAACACCACACTTTCGACCGCTGCGAGTATATAAACTCAATTATGTCAATACACTTCAAATACATTATAACAAGAACATATAGTGTTTTTGTCGTAATAATGGTAGACAACAGCCGCCAGAGGAGAAAAAACGTTATAATCACTCGTATGTTTTGAATGTAATCATCCACCACCCACAGGATAGGCTATAATTAACTCAAATTATAATTACTTTAATGTCCTTTTGTGCTGTCTAACATCTCGTGATACTAACTGTGATTTATTGATCGCTTGTCTTTTATAACATATACAGTTCTAAAATGAAAGTCCCAAGAGCCGCCAGTAGAGCCGATGGGAGCTGGTCGGCCGAGCGGACAGCACGCTGGACTTGTGATCCTGGGTTCGATCCCAGGCGCCGGCGAGAAACATCGGGCAGAGTTTCTTTCACCCTATGCCCCTGTTACCTAGCAGTAAAATAGGTACCTGGGTGTTAGTCAGCTGTCACGGGCTGCTTCCTGGGGGTGGAGGCCTGGTCGAGGACCGGGCCGCGGGGACCGGGCCGCGGGGACACTAAAGCCCCGAAATCATCTTAAGACAAGATCTCAAGAAGATAGTCAAGTAATGGGCGTGGCTGCAAGACCACAGTTGCGCATGCGTAGAGCCCTTATTGTGACGCCAGGCCGTCCGCCCTGGACTCACTTCCACAATTCACTAACCTCATCCACCGCTCCAGAAAAAACTATAATCCTGTTGTGAAGCAAAATCTACATTTATTACAAAAAATTCTTCAGCTTGGGGAATATATTTACATAATGCTTTAGATGTTATTTATATAAATTTTCATAATTTTGATCATTATTATTACACATGATATTTTAAATATTAAATTTTTGGAAATGATGGGTATATAAATTTGTCATCAATCAATCTCTTAATTGGAAATGACAACAAATGTTGATAAAAAATTGTTTATGCCGTTAATAATGCCATATCATAATCATTACCTATGTCTTACATATACACAATTTATGTCTATATATACTTTTGGGGATTTATGTTAACGATGAGGACACCAGCCTTATCGCCCCTTACACCGTCCTCATACTTAGTGGAAATAACTTGACATAATTTAGAGGGAGTTTAACCTGGTCATGAGGAAAAAGTTAATCTGTTAGTATGCAATGTACAATTCAAATTCTGCTTTATATTCAGTTTAGAAGAATGTGTAATATGTTTATTGTTTGTGATGTGTGTATATGTATGTATTAACACGATGTACTGAACGGGGTGAGAATAGCTTGAGCTACCTCATCCCTTTGTGTGTATTTTACATCAATAAACTTATTTAAATTTAAATTTCAATGAATGCTAAATAAGTTAAAAATGCGTGTCTAGTATGCAGTTGGATACCGTTGTCCGGAATTTGATAAAACTTTGTTATGGAAAAGGGCCTACATAGAAAAGTCGTAACGGGAGACACTAAAAATTCACGAAATTAGGTTCTAGTGGGGACCCCTTAGGCTACGGACGACACCCAAATCTGAAATAGCTTGAGTGTTTTCGGGGAAGCCCGAGGCTTAGCTATATTAGTGACGCTACAAACATGGAAACTGTTTGGTGCCGATATTATACTGATGGACGTCATGTACATAAAATAAATTACAGTAAATGTGTAAGAGTCTTCACTGCACACAATTTCAGTCACATTTTTTTTTCACCCAAGTAGTCTCGAGGAATGTGTCGAGGAATGACAAAATCTAAAAAGTATACGCAAAGGAAATATCCTAATAGACAGGGGCCAGATTCACGAAAGCACTTACGCAAGCACTTACGAACCTGTACATCTTTTCTCAATCTTTGGCGGCTTTGTTTACCATTATTAGACAATGAGCTCGGAAGCACCAGGAGGCTGTTTATAACAATGACAACAGTTGAGTGGGAAGTTTTCATGCTTGTAAACTGTTTAATAAATGTAACCAAAGCCGTCAAAGATTGAGGAAAGATGTACACGTTCGTAAGTATTTGCGTAAGTGCTTTCGTGAATCTGGCCCCAGATGTGTAGAGGAGATAATTCTTGACACCTTGGGAGATATTTTCGTTTCTTGCAGCGTAGAATGGGAAGGCGCCATCTTTGAGACAAATGAGAAAAGGGAAGCAGACACAAACACAAGAGAAAAACATAGCGCATCACAAGGGCAGGCAGATGTACTCACATTATTATTGTTATTGTTGTTCTTATGGTGGTACTGCTGCTGCTGTTGCTGCTGCTGCTGCTGCTGCTGGTGGTGTGAGTGCCTGACGAAGCTCCTCTCTTTCTTCATGGCCGCCTGGTCATGCTGGCCTCTCGCCTCACCGCCCTGAGTCGGATGCCGAAGACATACACACACCAGTTATATAATGTGCATTGATATTCTTGTTATTAATTAAATTTGCACGTAATATAAATTCATCCTTACAACTAACGCTTCCAGAATATTTTAGTATGGAAGCATGTAAATATGTCTGCAAAGCTCATTCATATTACTCGTACATCTAATAGAACGTCGCATTTTGATGTATATTCTAAGGCCAAAAATTGTCGTTTTAGAAAATGGTATAGTATAGTGGCTCGTGAAATTGACAATGTCCCGCTTTCTGTTTCGGATCCTCTGGTACGTTAGGATAAGGCCACTTTATTAATACGACGGTTTCTTGACGTTGGGAAACCATATGAGGACGGAGTGTGTATATCAGCAACATAGTTGTGGTGGGGTGTCGGCTGTGGTGTAGTCACATTCCTTTGTGGACACATCCGTACACTGTTGACATGGCAGTATTGCATATATTGTCCTCCATACTTTTTTCTCTATTTTCATAGGAATAAAATTTACTGAACGAAAATTGGGACGGAGGGTGGAATATACGGAAGGGGATTTTTATTATTCTCATTTCACAACCAAAATAATTTGTACATTATTTCCCATAATTTCCCTATATTTTCCCTATATTTTCCTTAAATTTTTAAGAATAAATTATGTTTAAAAGTTTATTGATTCATGAGGCTTTAGGAAACCAATCGAAAAATTACGGCAGCCTAGTTATTTAAAGAAATATATTTGTAAATAAAATATTTTCTTCGCATTTTAAATAATTTTGTCTCTGGACACTCGTGGTTACATATTTTATCAGCTCAGGGCGAAACTATAGCGTCTTGAGTGGTTGATAATTGTATCTCAAATGCCATATAATTTTCTCTAAAATTCCCCCATATATATTTTGTTTTGCTCTTTAGTATTAAATGATAAAGTTCCAAAAACGGAGTTTCCAGCATGTACATATAGGTACAGCACAAACGGGAGAATGGATAGTGGTTACTGACCTCAGTCTGTTCCAGACTATAAGGGGTGACTTAGCTGTAATTATGGAGGCTGGTGGATAAATATGAACTAAGAAGAGCTTAGTAAACACTCGCAAAGTTAACCTGAGCATGACAGCATCTTCCCTCATGATGCCAACCTTCTCGCAGTTCACAATCACTAACATTATTACAATATATCTACCACAATTGAAGCCATGTCTACAGTTATCAAAATTACTTCATACGTTAACTACTGTTTTCCTCCTTGTTCTATAAGAATATACATAAAAGGCATGTAACTAAAAAAACATTAAAAAGCCTAATAATGATTGGAGGACATTATGTAAATATGGTAAGTTAAACTCCACGGAAGTGGAAATTTTAAGCATGAACACAATAGGCTCGAAAGTAACAAAATAAGATTCATTCTTTCCAGCACAGATTGTTTTTGGTTGTAATTTCTTAATGTTTTGTAATGGAACTCATGACAGATATAGTATTTGGGAACACAAAACTGCGTCTGCACTGGAGAGAACAAACGCCTTCCGGGAGAAGTTTTACCTGTGGGTTATGGAAGGCCACGCGGCGTCCCCTCCCACCCATGGGGACTTGGATAAGTAGCATCGCCAGACCTCTCAGTTCTATCTCCTCTAAAAGGCGTCTTCACAGCTCGCCCACTTACCATGTGACGCCTTACGCTCAAGCTTCGAGTGTGTGTGTCGTTCAGAAAGTCCTTAGCTTTTTTTTTCGGAGAGTTCGACACTAAACTTCGTAGAGAGAAGTTCTCAGATCTCCGTCGTTTCTTGGTCAAAGAAAACAGTCACTGTGGGACGTTTTCTGTCGTTTAGGAGTTGGGGGTTTTCTCAGGTGCTTCCTGGTACGTGTAGCTTGAAGGACTTTCTGTTGTTTATCAGCTGAGAACTTGTGATTTACTTTTTATTCAGGCTTCAAAGTCTATTGCACTCAAATTTTCTTCAGCTGTGTAATAAAATAGTTAAGGCGATATCCCTTCAGAAACTGTTTTCTGTAATATTCAAGAAAAGAGCACCAACTTGAATTTCTGGCAAACTAAAGTAATTCTGTGGTATCTTGGTATAGCACTCTTATAATTTTTTTTCTCGTTTGTTGACTTTCACTTTTAAAGTGGCTTTTTCAAATTTTGGCTGGAGATCGTCAAAAAATATTTCAGAGCCTTTCACAACTGGCACCAAAAAGCTTACATTTATATTAACCTGCTGGAAAAAATATGTAATACTTTACTAAGAATATCATACACACACACACACACACACACACACACACACACACACACACACACACACACACACACACACACACACACAGGGGCCTCGTAGGGGGCCTCGTAGCCTGGTGGATAGCGCGCAGGACTCGTAATTCTGTGGCGCGGGTTCGATTCCCGCACGAGGCAGAAACAAATGGGCAAAGTTTCTTTCACCCTAAGTGCCCCTGTTACCTAGCAGTAAATAGGTACCTGGGAGTTAGTCAGCTGTCACGGGCTGCTTCCTGGGGTGTGTGTGGGTTGTGGGGAAAAAAAAAAAAGTAGTTAGTAAACAGTTGATTGACAGTTGAGAGGCGGGCCGAAAGAGCAAAGCTCAACCCCCGCAAACACACAACTAGTAAACACACACACACACACACACACGAGTTGTTACATTCTTGCACAACCACTATAGCACCCAAAGCGTTTCGGGCAAGTCCTTAATCCTAATATATTCCCCAGAATACGACCCGCCAAAATGGTTCAGCAACCAGGTATACCCATTTACTGCTGGGTAAACACAGGCTACAGTTAAGGATTGACTACGGAGCAGTCTCCGTGGTGTAGTGGTAAGACACTCGCCTGGCGTTCCGCGAGCGCTATGTCATGGGTTCGTATCCTGGCCGGGGAGGATTTACTGGGCGCAATTCCTTAACTGTAGCCTCTGTTTAACGCAACAGTAAAATGTGTACTTGGATGAAAAAACGATTCTTCGCGGCAGGGGATCGTATTCCAGGGACCATAGGATTAAGGACTTGCCCGAAACGCTACGCGTACTAGTGGCTGTACAAGAATGTAATAACTCTTGTATATATCTCAAAAAAAAAAAAAAAAAAAAAAGACTACCAGTAAAACCTCCCCGGCCAGGATACGAACCCAGGACAAAAAGCTCACGAAACGCCAGGCGAGTGTCTTACCACTATACCACGAGGACCGCTATATGTGTACAGGAACAGACAACTTCTGACTCCTCTTAGCAGGCTGAGAACTTTCCCTTCCCATAACTCATGGTGAGCCTTACCCACTAGTTTCCCCTAGAACACGACCCGCCGATTGGGCACCCAATCACTGCTGGGTGAACAGAGGCCATTAATTAAAGGATTGGCGCCTATGGTCAATCCTTCCATGCCAGGACTCAAATCCAGATAACTGGATTTTGTATTTTGAATATCTCAGCCTACCATTTAGGTCAGCAGCAGTCTTAAAAGCAAAGATATGCAGCTGAAATCTTTGAATCATTGTCGAAGAGTAAAATCAATATAATGGGGTCCATAATCCAGCATTGTGTGACCATAATCTAGCATGGTAATGGGGCCCATAGTTTAGCATACTAATGGGGACCATAGTCTAGCATGCTAATGGGGACCATAGTTTAGCATACTAATGGGGACCATAGTCTAGCATGCTAATGGGGACCATAGTTTAGCATTCTAATGGGGACCATAGTTTAGCATTCTAATGGGGACCATAGTCTAGCATGCTAATGGGGACCATAGTCTAGCATGCCAATGGGGACCATAGTTTAGCATACTAATGGGGACCATAGTCTAGCATACTAATGGGGACCATAGTCTAGCATACTAATGGGGACCATAGTCTAGCATACTAATGGGGACCATAGTCTAGCATGCTAATGGGGACCATAGTCTAGCATGCTAATGGGGACCATAGCCTACTATAATAATGGGGACCATAGTCTAGCATGCTAATGGGGACCATAGCCTACTATAATAATGGGGACCATAGTCTAGCATGCTAATGGGGACCATAGCCTACTATAATAATGGGGACCATAGTCTAGCATGGCTATGACATTTACACACAGAACCGGGAGAACCTGTCTTCAGGGAGGAGATCCGCTCAAGAGAATGGATTGAGAGCCACTACATAATTAGTGCTATTAACTACTATCTCTCTCCATGGTTAGGTTAGGCTAACGTTACTTTAGGTTAAGGTTTTGGTTAGCTTTAATTTCGTTTGGTTACGTTAATACGGAGTATTTTTGACAGTGTGAAGAATGAAATTCGAAACGTTTTTCAATGTACCCGAGAATTCCGTTTACAATCAAATTTTTCAAAGAAAACGTTTTCAACATACACGATATATTTTAAACCAATAATTCATAATACAATAATGTTTTAACTTGAGGAATAATCAGCTTACGATCTATTTGTTTCTTAATAATCTGTTTCTCATGATGAATTTACTGTGGGGACGGGCTCGGAACACCAGTAATACCAACATGAACAAATATTGAGGCCGTGAAGTGGGATCGAACTCGTATCCAAAGGCATATACACTGAATAAAAATATCAGTACCAATTGAGGCATATATAATAGTTAATGTATGCTAATAACAATTAATATAATGTTTATTAATAAAATAATAATATATAATAATAATTTGAGAAATTCTGTAGTAGCCGTGATGAGGGTTCGAACCTATACGGTGGGTAGTTCCACACACACGCCCCAGACAACCAGTTCACGACATGGGCAAAGAGATTGTAACCTAGAATTCTACTGAACCCACAAGGAATTTCTGAGGCTTCTACTGAAGGCAGACAAAGATTTTCACACAATTCTCCCCGTGCACTCTGCCTGTCATCTAGGAATGTTCTACCTCTGACACGCCTCTTTCAATACACATAGTACCCTGTTACCTAGCAGTAAAATAGGTACCTGGGTGTTAGTCAGCTGTCACGGGCTGCTTCCTGGGGGTGGAGGCCTGGTCGAGGACCGGGCCGCGGGGACACTAAAAGCCCCGAAATTATCTCAAGATAACCTCAAGATAGTAATCACATTAACGTGACTGCATCAATGAGAAAATCCGTAGAGTGAACGTGGGAACATCCACCACATAAGTTCGAATCTGCATCACAGCTCCAATGGATTTTCTCATTGATGCAGCGACGTTAGCGTTATTACTGTGTATTATTATTATTATTATTAATATTATTATTAGCTTAATAATGTTTATAGCGGCATTTGATGGCAATATATTTGTGTGTGATGTTGAACCTAATACAGTGTGTGAATTTACTATTTGTGTCTGCAGAAGCGAGCTATTACCTCTTGGACCCCCGCTTTTTTAGCCAATATATTTCTCCTCTATTACGTCAACTACATGTATTTATCTCTGACACACACACACACACTGGAAGACAGAGTTAGGGGAGACATGATCACGACCTACAAAATTATCAGGAATTGACGGGGTAGATAAAGATAAACTGTTTGTTTAACACTGGTGGTACGCGAACAAGGGGACACAGGTGGAAACTGAGTACCCAAATGAGCCACAGGGACGTTAGAAAAAACTTTTTCAGTGTCAGAGTAGTTAACAGATGGAATGCATTAGGCAGTGATGTGGTGGAGGCTGACTCCATACACAGTTTCAAGTGTAGATATGATAGAGCCCAATAGGCTCAGGAACCTGTACACCAGTTGATTGACAGTTGAGAGGCGGGACCAAAGGGACAGAGCTCAACCCCCGCAAGCACAACTAGGTGAGTAACACTTGGTGAGTACACACACACACACACACACACACACACACACACACACACACACACACACACACACACACACACACACACACACACACACACACACACCCAGGAAGCAGCCCGTAGCAGCTGTCTAACTCCAAGCTACCTAATTACTGCTAGGTTAACAGGGGCATTACGATGAAAGAAGCTGCCCATTTGAACCCGGGCCATTAGTGAGAGACATGATCCTTCACATACAAAAGTGTGTGAACCACTGTCAAACACTGAACAAGCAGGATGCATTTGCATCAGACAGCAAGTAGCGGTTCGTAACAGGCTGGTTGATCAAGCCAGGAAGCCTAGCCAGAGACCGGGCCGCGTGGATATTGATCCTCAGAACCACACCGGCCGCCCACCACGGGGTCCAGGGGCCAGATTCACGAAGCAGTTACGCAAACACTTACGAACCTGTACATCTTTTCTCAATCTTTTGCGGCTTTGTTTACAATAATTAAACAGTTAATGAGCTCGGAAGCACCAGGAGGCTGTTTATAACAATAACAACAGTTGATTGGCAAGTTTTCATGCTTGTAAACTGTTTAATACATGTAACCAAAGCCGTCAAAGATTGAGGAAAGATGTACACGTTCGTAAGTACTTGCGTAACTGCTTCGTGAATCTGGCCCCCAGGCCGCTATTGGGCTTGGTCCACACGCTGCCTCCCACACGCTGCCTCCCACACGCTGCCTCCCACACACGCTGCCTCCCACACACGCTGCCTCCCACACACGCTGCCTCCCACACACGCTGCCTCCCACACACGCTGCCTCCCACACACGCTGCCTCCCACACACGCTGCCTCCCACACACGCTGCCTCCCACACACGCTGCCTCCCACACACGCTGCCTCCCACACTCGCTGCCTCCCACACACGCTGCCTCCCACACACGCTGCCTCCCACACACGCTGCCTCCCACACACGCTGCCTCCCACACACGCTGCCTCCCACACACGCTGCCTCCCACACACGCTGCCTCCCACACACGCTGCCTCCCACACACGCTGCCTCCCACACACGCTGCCTCCCACACACGCTGCCTCCCACACACGCTGCCTCCCACACACGCTGCCTCCCACACACGCTGCCTCCCACACACGCTGCCTCCCACACACGCTGCCTCCCCCACACGCTGCCTCCCACACACGCTGCCTCCCACACACGCTGCCTCCCACACACGCTGCCTCCCACACACGCTGCCTCCCCCACACGCTGCCCCCCCCACACGCTGCCCCCCCACACGCTGCCCCTCCACACGCTGCCCCCCCCCCCACACGCTGCCCCCCCCCCACACGCTGCCCCCCACACGCTGCCCATATCATGTTTCCACAGCTAGAATATTTGGGAGCCTTCCGGCCGAGCGGACAGCACGCTGGACTTGTGATCCTGTTTTCCTGGGTTCGAGA